AAGCAATAACAATCTTTACTAACTAAATCATAGAAAGTGAAGTTGAAGTTCGATAATCTGCTTTTATAAAAAATTGCATTTTCCATACTGACTGAGAAGTAAATGACCTGTTGAAGATCAAAAACACCACATAAAATTAAATTCTCAGCCATCGCTACTTCTGTATACAGACTCTTCAATTCGCTAACCTTAGTTTCTTCTTTAATGTGATTTTCAAAGTCTTCGTGTTTTCGGGGAGGATTTGTTGCTAGGTACCGCAATATTTCCTATATTACTTGTAATGTCTAACATTTGCTAACGGTTTCTAATAACAATATTTTTGCAGTGTGTTCCTTCCATACCACAAATAGCTTCAGTACAAGGTGTCACTTTAGTCACTGGGAAGTGGATAGACAGATTCATTTTTTCAACAACAGCAAAATGTGATCTTTTCCTACGATATTGTAAAATGGATACATATTTACATAATGCCAAATTTCTAATCAGTAGGAGTTGATTCTAAACCGGATGCGAATTAACAATAATTCTTGAACTTATCTTCGAATAATGATTCAAAATTTCTTAAACAAAATAATTAAGCTTGAACAAGAGAAATAATCTCTTTGTTAAGGTTTAACATACTTACCATGGAAAACCGCATCAATCACTTTCATCGCTCTATTCTGTCCGGTCCTGTCCCCACTATAACTCGGATAGTACGGCTCGAAAAATTTGACATAACAACTATGTCAAAAACAAAAAAGCTTTGTAAGTTTTCAAAATGGGTCGTTGTCTATGTTTTTCGGGTTTCTCTTTTTTGGACGTAGTGAAAACGTTTTTGTTGGTATTCGGCGTATATTACACCCTGAAAACGCTAAAAATACTCTTTTGGCGTTTTCTAGACGACGGACGAGGGTGACGTGTCTAGTACTGGGCTTTGTTGGCTTAGCGCGATGTTAAAATTGGAATGATAGATTCGCGAAATTTTAGCATGTTTCAGGATTTTTCATACTATAGTACTGACATACTGTATAAAAATGTGAAAATGAATGAAAAAACGAACAATGTGTCGCCTGGAAGACAGGTAAATAAAATATGATGTCGAAAGAGTGCCACGTGTACTTGAAGAAGGTCACCTTTGAGACCGAAACGTCGTACAATAAGGAGGAATTTTATACTATACTATGTGGTTTGATTCGGTCAGACAAACAAACTAATATTGCCACTACAACCCTCCGAGTCTCGTGCTATCCCGTTTCTTATCTTGAGCATCCTGTGCTTTTGGTGTAATATTTTCATTATTAAACTTGCATCTAAAATTTTAACTTAAGAAAACTAATATAAATATTTGTTTTTTCCAGTCTCCAGAAGCTGTAAGGTAACACGGCAAACCTCTGGTAAGTTTTTTGAGTCTACTTCAGTTTTTAGTGACTTCTCCGTTTCCAATAATAATTGATCATCTAACAGCTGCTTAAACATTAATATGCCCTATAGATATTTTTTAACCAATTATGCATGATTTTGCATTTCTCGAATTATCAGTGTGAAAAAGTTTAAACAATGTCCTATTAATATGGTCGAGCAAATATCAGAACTATTTGCTTATGTTATAAATAAGTGCCTTCGGTCAGAAATATTTCCTTTGGCTTTTATATCTACTGATATCATTCCTGTCTACAAAACAGGCGATAATTTGGATGTTACCAATTATCGAGCAAAATCGCTCATATCGACTTTATTCGAAAAATTACTCTCTAGTAAGATAATAAATTTCCTGGATAATTTCAAGTCCAAATCAATATGATTTTACAGCTGGGAAATCCACCACAGATGGTATGCTAATTCTAGTGACTCAAATCACCCAAAACTTTGATGATAAAATGCCATGTACTTGTGTAGTTGTCGCATTCGATAGTGTTAATCACAGTTTATCGTCAAATATTAGGTTTTTGGTGGAAAAATACATTCTTTAATGCAAAGTTATTTATTTAAGTGGCCTCAAGTAGTGAAACAGTCAAAATCATACAGTAAGAAAATGTACGTCAAATGCGGTGTACCTCAGGGTACAGTGTTAGGCCCTCTTTTATTTAATATCTGTTTAATTGATATATTCGTTATTAACTGTGTAGGTAAAATAGTCAGTTTTGCTGATGATATGGCAATACTACATAAAGGGCAAGATTGGTATGATGTAAAGGAATAATTGAGAATGAGTTTTGTAGAATCATTTATTTCTTCAACATTAGAAAATTAACCGTGAACTTTGAAAATATACTTTTTCCACTCTTCAGATCATACACAGGGTATCTAGCCGATTATTTAAATCTTTCCTTTTAAATAATTAATACTAGTTTAAAAATTGGAATTTTTTTAGCCCAATATTTACTCTGGGACATTCATGCATCCTACATTTTGAAGAAAATAAGATTTGTTACATACAAAATTAAATTCCTCAGAGACATATTGATAGAAAATTATATTCATACCGGATACCGAATGTATTGCATATTAGTATGGGGTACAGCATGTCCAGCGTATTTAAGCGAGTTAGGACGGGAGCTTGCGAGGATGAGTTTTTAAAAAAACTCAAAAATACTTTTTTAGACCGAACTAACAAATTTTTATTGAGAAGAATTACATAGTTGATTGCAGCAAAACCAAAAGTGAATCAAAATAACAAAGCAAGTGTGTGAGTATGATAAAAAAATCTGATGCAGCGTCTTCATTCTTCGACCCTATTCATTTCCAGTGACGTAACTAGCGATGTAGAAGTTTTACAGAGAACTGCATTAAAAACTATGTTCCGGAAATCAAAACTATATTGAGCAACTGATTTATTCAACAAAACAAAATTGTTTGATATCAAGCAACTTTATTTCTTACATACTATTAGCCATTACCATAAAGTTGTCAGTGAGCGCGATAAAATCACACATTGCTATCGTACTCGATATAAATTGCGTGCAAAAACTGCCCCTAAACCACATAAGACCATAATGAAGCGATGTTATCTTTATTTGGCTTCAAAATTGTATGAACACGTACCCAAAAACAATTCCGAAATACACATAATTTTAAAAATAGATTATCAAAATTGACGCGCTCAATAGGAAGACAACATATTATTGGACTCCTATCAACAATTCATGAAAAGTTACCATCTGCTACATGTACACCTCTTTGATATCATTGTTTCCTTATGTTTCTTTTAACTTTTTTATTTTGTTTTTGAAATGCCACACATTTCATCGTACAACTGATCCATCTACAAGCATCCTTCTGTGGATTACAACATATTATTTATTTACCCATTTTATATCATTATATTATGGAGTAAATAAATATGTACTACTACTTTAGTCAAATACCAGAAGTCCGCATTTTCAAAGGCCTCCGCGTAATAGCAGTTACGATGGATGTCTTTTAAGTATTGCACATGGAAATAAAACAACACGGTAGGTGGTTTTAAATGACTTTATTGTTTTTTGACGTATTCTCCACAAAGATTAATACACATCTACATGCGCTCGAACCAATTTTCGAAGCACTTATTCCACTCGTTTGCTGGCAGATCCAAAACGGCATTTTTGAATGCGTCAACTGCTTCTTCTGGTGACTGGAGACTTTGACCACGCAGTCTGTTTTTAATTTTCGGGAAAGTAAAGAAATCGGTCGAACTTAGATCGGGACTATATGGAGGATGGTCTTCCGTTAAATACTGCCTTGTTTTTTGGGCTATGTGCGAGCTTGCATTGTCTTGATGGAGGATGATTCTTCTTTCGGGGTTGATTTTTCTAAGCTCGGTGATGACTTTTGGCAAACAAATGGTGGTATACCAATCCGCAATAACAGTTCTTTGCTCATTAAGAGGAATTATTGCAATATGACCCGCTTTTGACACAAATGTCGCAACCATCTTTTTCGAAACACTTCGAGAACGGATGACTTTTGTTGGCTTTTCTTCACCTTGGAACAGCCAAACAGCCGACTGTCGTTTATTTTCTGATTCATAACAGTAAATCCACGATTCATCTCCAATAACAATGCTGTACACATCTATTGAGTTTCCGGAATTGAAATGGTCAAGCGTTTTTTACACCAATTAACCCTGGCTGCTTTCTGCTCTTCAGTTAACAGGTGGGGTATCCAACGAGAAACTAATTTTCTTACATCTAATTCTTCATGTAAAATGTTTTGAATTGAGGGCTTTGACATTTTCAAGGACGCCTCAATCTCGCGATATGTCACATGTCTATCTGGGATCGTCGCTAAGACTCACCAGTCGACGTTTGAATTCTCCATACCTACGGAAAATTGTCGACTGATGTGGCGCTTCGTTGCCGAAAACAGACAGTAACTCAGCAAGGCTGTTGCGATAATTGTATCTGAAAGTTGTAAGAAATTACTTCGCGAAAATGTTCTCGGTTGAGTTCCATTTTTCTAATGACTTGGTGACACTTAAAAATTCACTGTAGTGAGAACACTGCACGTATTGTTATGAAACTTTGAATTTAAGTTTACTAAAGAGTGAAGTTAAGATTCAGTACCTACTGACGTTCGATCCGCACGGCCTACTATGTTTCTATATGCAAAACTTAAATGACATCCCTCGTAGTACGATGAGTTTCACTACTGTCATCAATTTTGGTATTTTACTATACATGTTATTCGAAACAATAAGGTACATTCATCAAATCTATCTCCCAATAATCCAAATCCACCCCTGTCCAACCCGTGTATCTCCGCTGCTGCCGCGGCGTGTACGCGCAGACAGCCCGTGAAAAAAGGGGCCGCTCCCCCTGCCGACGGACGCGCAGGGGGTGTGTCCTATCCTTAGGGGCGGCCACCCTTCCGACAATCGCCACGCCACACACCACGCACCCCAACACAAATGCGAACAGTTGCAACGCGACCACCATACCTCGGTATCACCACCAACGTTCGAGTCCGATCAATCTAACCACTTAGCGCGCGAGTCCGGCCACTTGGCGACTTCCGGGAGTGCCTACAGTGCGGTCCGCGCCTTCAGAACTGAAGCTGGAAACCATTAGAGACTTTCTGAAGCTGAGTAAACGCCTAGTAAACCAAATGGAGCCTGTACGCATCGCCAGAAACTAAGCAACGTACATCTGAAGCTATTACAGTTTACTGATCATCAGAAGCTAAGCAACATCCATCTGAGAAGCTACTAGAGTCCTTTTGTATTCCTGCAGCTAAGCAATCTTCATCTGGAACTTGATAGAACCATTAGAACCACAGAATATCTTCTAAAGCTAATACAATGTTCATCTGCAAGTTAATCAAGCTGTTGCGTATTATATGAAGCTGGCAATACTCATCTCTAGTACTACTGATATCATTCAATATAAAGTAGAAGAGACTATTGATCCAATTTTGGTTCAGTGGCTTCTGATACAACTATTGCTGGATAATTGTCATCATTTTTGCAAAACTGTGGTTACCCATGATCAAGGGAGAGGCAGTTTATATGGTCTACCAGAGTGCAGAACTTTGATCAGGTCCCAGTAGCGCCTGAAGACTGTGATATGGTCCGAGATCCTAACATCTTCAGATAGAACATCTTGAGCAACTCAAAAGATATAGAGATGAACCTTAGGAAAGCTTAAGGTTGCAGAGACTAGCAAATTAGAAGATGATTTAAAACGGACAACTTTTCAACACTCATACCAATATTTCCTCAAAATGTCTTCTCCCAGCAGAGATTTGGAAGTGAACGTAGTATCAAGCCCCTCGAGGAGCAACAGTCCCGTGGTTACCTGTTACCCGATGATAAAGACGCACAGTGTTACAAGTGAAGACGAAGATAAGGATACTAGTGCGAAGAGTACTCCAAGTACTCAGAAACCTTCTGGTGGTTCGACGAACTTTAGTATATCTAGTATTTTGTCTCGTGATTCGAAATGTAAGACTTTGTCGGCGTCTCCTCCCAGTACGGGGGGCTTGGGAGACCCCAGTGGAGGAAGTTTGGGAGCTAGTGGAACGGATACAGCTGTATTGTCTAGGTAGGTAACAGTTATTTTCTATCTGATCGGAAAAATAAACTCAAAGTAGAATAACATTGTACTTCCCACACATTATTATGACTTTCAGATTATACTAAACGCATATTTTGTAACTTGTAGATTCTGAGATTAGTAAATAATGCATCCAACTAACTGATGGATCATAAGGGCGTTAAGCACTTTGGGTGGCAAGCAAACTAAGTTTGTTGCTGGAAATGTATGAAATTTGTTGTGAAATTGGTTCCGTAAACAAATGTAGTAGAGCTGTGTAGCTTTTTTCTCATTAATAATTTATACGACAACTTTAAGCGATAACTTCAAAATAAATAAGTGTCAACTGACAGTAAGTCAACACACTTTTGTTTCTAAAGGAAACTTGATATTATATTGTGCTTGTTAAAATTAAATCCAATGAATTTTGTGCCAAAACTTTTAGAACATACGTTAGGCAATAAGGAGTAACAGAAATTTCGAAGATCTTGTACACTACGCTCATCATTTGTTTACGGATCTGGATTCTGTAGCCAATAATATAAGTTTATGGACGGCAAGCATACTTTGATCTTACTTCAAAGTTATTCTGCTGTACCTATTGAACTTGAAGGCTTAAGATCGGGAAAATGGACGATCTGAATGGTAGGAGTGGGTAAAGAAGAGTACATTATATTTGAAGACATGCAAATTGATCAAATATTCGTATTGGTTTCAGACACATTCTCCCAAAAAATTTACATTCGGCCTTCGGCCAAAAGGGACTGAAGGTTTCGAGAAATCTGTATTCAACATAAAACTTACAAAAATATTGAATACCAAAAGAATAAAAATCGTGGTTAGTAAATTTAGGAACACTTGAAAAGGTCTTCAGCTACCAATATGAGTGTTCAGTTTTTTCTGTTAAAATAGATTACGTATCTTCGAGATGCCAATCAGGATCACTGTACATAATTAATTTGGTCAGACAGTTATTCCTTAAGTACAAATATTTGAAGATAGAAAAGCCAATTTACTATGCGGTGCTGGTATGCTACTGTTTGTTGAGTTTATGTACACCAGTTTTCGTCAAAAACTAACAATTATAGGTGAAATCTACATCCAGCTTACTCCATGTCTGAAAATAAAATGATTCAAACGATTACATTAGTTTGTTCAAAAATCACTTTCATTTTAAGGCATAATCTTGAAAATGTGAACATATCACCGTTTTCAAATTTATATTTCAAAGTTTCATGAAAAAGATACTTTTAACGTCATATAAATACAATACTAAATAAACTAAATAGTTCTTTATTATAAATAACAGGTCTCCGGATCCGTCGTCCCACTGACCCTTAAGATAACGGACTGTAGATAGACGTACACTAGTTGAAGTGTCCGACACGCAACAACAAAAAATTGACATATACAACAATTAATTTTTATCCTTGCAAATTTTTTTCTGGAAATTATCAGGATCCTCTGAAAAGTCAAAAAACGATGATCGATTCTTATTTTTCGGTTTTTAGCCTTTCTCTCCGCCGCCACTGGCCCGATATAACATCCAAAGTATTGTTGTTTATTCTACTATCTTATTCTTATAACACAACCCAGATTTTTCATTAAATGAACAACAAATTTTCTTCAGTGAGGCAGTACCAGTCAAATGCTAGTCTAAAAAACTAGGTCTGTTATAGATACTGACATTCATAAATTGGGATGAAAAACAGGTTTTTTGACAATTTTCTCGTAACTTAAATGTCAAGTTAACGTTTACGAACGCGGTAAAGTTGCTGGGAAAAACTGGTTAATGTTGGGGAAGGAAATTCGTCCTTCGTGCGTTATTTTTTATTTAGGGCGGTGCTAGTTACAAGATAGTAAAATGAAAATTCAGAAAGAGCAATTCGTAATCTATAGAAGTGATAGATTCGAAAATTGACAGATACCTTTCCAAGCACTAGCACAAAAGGAATGGATTCAGGATGTGTCGTTGGGAAGCTTCAATCCCACAGATTCACAGTGACTGTGTGTGCTAACTCTCAGCATTTTTACCCCGAATAACTGATATACTGGGTCTCCATCTATTACTTTTTTTTACCTATAAATTTATGTGTTACCATGTGAGTCAAAAGTCATGTGGTATGCATAAATGAACTGTTAAAGGTATGCCATTTATAGTCATGAATTCGTTTACAACCCAACTACGCATTTTGGTTATCCAAACTTATTACGAAAACGGTCGAAACATAAAAAATACGTTTCGCAAACTTCGCTGAAGGTCGTAGACCATACCAACATGCTCGTCCAGCTCGTACTCGTGAAAACATAGCCGCATTGAGTGAAAGTGCGCGAGAAGATCCAACCATCTCGACTAGGCACCGTTCGCAACAATTGGGAATTAGTGAGACCACTTTACGCCGGAATCCAACTTACACAAGAATTAAAGCCGGCAGACCATCAACAGCGGCGTGTTTTTGTTAATTGGATGCTGGAAAGAGAAGACGGATTTTCGGCCAGTGCTTTTTTCTGGTGAGGGTCATTTTCACCTCAATGGGTAAGTAAATAAGCAAAATTGCAGATTCTGGGGGGCTGAAAATCCACACCAATATCATGAACAACCTCTCCATCCTGAAAAAGTGACTGTTTGGTGCGGATTATGGGCTGGTGGTATCGTTGGACCATTCTTCTTTGAAGATGCCGACGAAAAGGCCATTACCGTCAACGAAGAACGATATCGCGGCATGTTAACAGACTTTTTGTGGCCACAATTGGATCGTATTGGTGCCGACGATCTATGGTTTCATCAAGACGGAGCAATGGCTCACACATCTCTCCAAACAATCGCCTTATTGCACGCGAAATTTCAAGACCACATAATTTCACGAAATTCAGATGTCAGTTGGACACCGAGATCGTGCGATTTAACAACTCTTGACTATTTTCTTTGGGAATTTTTGAAAGGAAAAGTGTATGCGAATGGCCCTCGGACAATTCAAGACCTAAAGCGCAGTATTCGGACTGAAATTGCGGCCATAGACCCTATTATTCTGAGAAAAGCCATTGACAATTTTGGTGTTCGGATGTTGGTCTGTAAACGAAGCCGCGGTGGTCACATGACTGATGTATTTTTCATGCATAAATGGCATAAACCAACCTTCATTTATCAATAAAAAAATTCGATTTCACCTCGTAAAAAGCGTGTTGATTTTTCAAATAGAAAAAAAGTAATAGATGACGCACCCTGTATATTGCGCAGATTGATTTCGAAATAGTTCCTTGTAGAACCCGAATAAAGCTAGCATGTTTGATCACTTGGAAAATATTGCTGATGACATTTCCATTATTTGGACGGATCTGGAAAATTAAGTGATGAGACTGATTTTATTAAATTTTTTATTCAAATATAATTACAATTATTTATATTGTCACCCTCAAAATGACTTCCTTCTGAAGCCACACAGCGCTGGAGACTCCTTAGACTCCTCGTAGCAGAGCTGGAACTCCGATACTGCAGTAACCTTCAGCTGGTCGACTGCAGCCGTTTGAATGTTTCCTAGTTCCCTTGAGGTGATGTTGCAACTTCGGAAAGTGAAAAAAGTCACGAAGACCCAATTCAGGCGAGTCGGGAGGCTGATGACGCACATGAATGTTTTTACTGGCTAAAAGCTCTTTATTGGCATTGCTGATGCATCGCAAGATTCTGTCGATATTTTCATCGGTTCTTGAAGATGAAGGCCATCCGCTTCATGGTTTATCTTCAATCCACTCTCTTCCCTTTGAAAACCACCGAAAAACTGGGGCTCTTGACAAAACATTGCCTCCTTTGGCGTGTTCAGCAAGAGTTTCTGTCGCACTATAACCAAGTCTGAAGCAAAACCTGATAGCATATGGCTAAAGACTGATATCACTTATTTTTAGAACACAATAGAAAAAACTGATTCACAAAAAAAAATCGTTACGGGCAACCAAATGACTCGAGCGAGTTCAAACTGGTACTGAAGGCGGATCACATATTCCCCTGTCTCCCCTCCAAGCCCGGCGCGTCCAGTGTTGCCAGATCGAACGCTACGTTGCCAGACCCTTCGCTTAATTTACATCCTTTGTGGCCCCCGTTGTTTCATTGATCGCCAATTCTAAATAATTTTTACGTATGTTGCACAAACTATTCTCTATGCTCGTGTAAACCGGCCGAAACAGATATTCAAACACCAATATTAATTAAACGAACAAATATAATCATTTTTAACTAGTGTCATTAACGGCAGCGATGAACGCAGTCACAACTGCAATTTTGCATTAAGCTACCGAATAATAAAGCTCGCTTTATCGCCGCCGAATAATTATCTATAACAGAGTATATAGGTTTGTAATGACCGCCATTCATAATTATTTTACACGGGATGCTAGATATAATGGATAATTCAGTGGTGAAGCATGAAAATGGTGATACTGTCGCCAGTATTACAAGAGAATGATAAAAAATACAACAGTAAATGCAAAGCTCATATAAGGTTCTACAGCCATAAAGAACAACTTTTCTACTCACTCTACAGGGTGTTTCAGAACTATGGGATCAAACTTGTAGAGGTTATTCAGTGTAACAGTAAACATTTGAGTATACGGACCGGCGCTTGTGTGTTGTTATCGTTAAAAACGATAACAGATTTTTTTGTAGCTGCATATTTGTCAAGTTTGCAAGAATTTAACAAAAATTAATTGTTGCTAATGGAAAACTTTACCAATCAAGAATTGGCGGATATGCATTTGGCATACGGAGCAACAAGCATCAATGCACGAGCAGCCAGCGCGGTTGTATCAAGAACGTTATCCCGAACGACAGCATCCGCGGGATACAAAAAGTTTATTGCTATTCATCGGCGGCTCTCCGAGGCAGGCATCTTTAAAACCAACATGCATGATACTGGTGTTGCTCGAACTGTAGGAACGGTCGAATTTGATGAAGAGGTCCTTCAGCGAGTTGCCGACGAGTCTCATCAAGTATAGCACACGTCAGTCACATTGCTGAG